AATTTTCGAGTCCGAGAGCAAACCACGTAACTGTCCGTGCGATCTCCCATTGCCCTTTCCAGGGCTTCTGATACGGTCTTGAACAATTTTGCTGGGCCACGCTCCTCCTTCGTACTAATCTGGCCACACCAGATCGTATGTTCCAAGTGCCCAGGGATCTTAAGATCACGAATCGCAGCTGCCGCTTGAAGTCCCACTGCAATCGAACTCCATTTAATCTCCACACAACTCCCATACCCAAATGGTGCAACAATATGCGTGGGCTGGGGAACATCCGCCCGGCGAAGGACAGCCCGCGCCTTCTCCAGGGCCTCCTGCTTCTTGAGATTCCAGCCCAGGTTGGTGAGAATGAAGATGTCCCTATCTGCCCTTGGGGTGCTAGCCCACGGCGGACCCTTTTTCCTCGACGGACCCTGGCTCGACTGACTTTCTAACTGTTTGGCTGCCATTTCCGCGCGCAGAGACTTCTGCTCCAGCTCAACGGCAAGAATCCTTTCGTTGAAGGCTTTCTGCACCTCGGTTTCACCCGCTTCAAGGTTGGCAAGCTTTACTTCATGGTCATTGATCAGAGTGACGGCCACTGAAAATTCCTGAGCCATCGCCTTTTGAGTTCCCAACACATCGAATTGTAACGAATCAATACGATCTTTGATAGGAGCGATCTTTTTGTCTAGGAGAGACTCGAGTTGGGCAAGAAACCCGTCGGCACCGGTGGCGGTCGAGGCAGCCCCCGATGGAATCGAACCATTTTCTCCCAAACCAGTACCCTTAGCAGCTCCCTTGGCCGCCAAGGTTCTCATAGCTTTCGAGGCTTCTTGCTGATTTTCTTTGTCGTCGTCTACCATCCGAGCTTCGTCCCTCAGTCTTTTCTGCTTATCGATGTCCAATGATAAGAGATTTTGCATGGTTTCTCCAATCTGCAATGCCGGCATGGCCAAAAGGATGAAGCAAGAGCCAGTTTCCCAAAATTTGAGATAGAAATGAAGCGCTGAATTGACAAAACCCAGTAAGATTCACGAATTCACCAAATTGAGGCGATATCCCACTGATTGAACTCAATAACCGATCCCCAAAGGCTCAAGGAACAGTTGCGGTACCGGAATGGCTTGTGGTAATGCTTGAGCCAAACCTTGAGCCAAACCTTGAGCCAAACCTTGAGCTGATGATGATGAGTGGGGAGTGAAGGTGATGGTGATGACGATGCGGAGGAGGAAGCAAATAGGAGCAGAGGAGAGGGGGGAGGACGAGAGATCCTGCGCGGAGGGTGCGCAGAGAAAACAAGAATCCCACTTAGGATGTGGGGGAACATACAAAAAACGTCAAATCCAAATGCATGCTCTGCCCCCCCCCAAAAATACTCCCCGCGGGTCATGCCTGCTCCTGCGCCAAAGCCGCGATGGCATTCGATTGCTGACCCGCATTGCCAGCCAGAACGGGATCGGAGGTTCAGGGGCGCCACGCGGCGATTCCAGGTTCAGGCCCAGGCATCTTGACACCGAAAAAAAGAACAATCAGGAAGCGGCCCCTCTGGGCGCCCACTGCCCAAAGATTGCGGCGCTGGCCACGGCCGCGCGCAGGGGCTCTCATCACGTTGGGCCTCTGTTGCAGTAGTGGGCGCGATGTTTACTTAAGACTAAGAACAAGATGGATGATGATGCGCATGCTGGGTGATGATGCCTACATAACTAGTAGGTGCTGCAAACTTCGCGACTGCCGCCGCTCGTTGGCCCCTGAGGGGTCCAAACGGACACGGGGCGAAGCGTGCCCAGATGACAACTCCATGAGCTGCGCGCCCCCGAATGCACTACCGCCGCCACCTTCGCAGGCCCCTTGGAGAGCGAGAGGGGCAGAGCCGCGAGGGGCCACATAGGCCCATCTACCCGCGCATGCATTTGCAGAAGGGCAGGGGGCTGCGGTGATTCGCCGAAGGCGCCTTCACAAAGGGGGCCCTGGCGTCTGCGATCCTTTCCCATATGTTCCGCCTGAGTCTAATCTTCTCTATCGTGCAATACGACCCTCCTCGCTCTCAGGAAGTTATTTTTTCTCGGCGAGGCTGGGCGGCTCGGCCCCCTCGGCCGCCGTCGTCTCGGAGAGGCTCGGCGGCGCCATCACTTCGACGTGATCACCTGGAAGGCGCGCTGGAACGTCGTCGCGTGCAGCGACGTCTTCTCCTGCACGCCGTAGCTGCGCAGCTTCCTGATGGCCGTCTGGATCTCCATGCGCTGCTCTGTCTTCTCGATGGCATCGTTGGCGATCGCGGCGCAGATCAACTGCTCCGTCTTGGCGACCGCCAGCGCCTGGGGGGAGATGATGGCCTGATTCGCGCGTTATGCGGGTTGTCCCGGAAGCCTTCGGGGGGCGCCCCTGGCCGCGCCCGCGTCGCATCGACGTCGGATCCGCGTGCGTCGGGCTTCTCCCTATCCCCTCCTTCCCCTTGTCCTCCTCCTCGTCCTCGTCCTCCTCCTCGCCATCGTCCTCCTCCCCCCCCCCCTCGTCCTCCTCCTCCTCCTCCCCACCCCTCCTCGTCCTCGCCCTCCTCCTCCCCCCCCTCCTGGCCCCCCCCCCTGGAATCCGAAGCCCAGGGCGCGATAACTCAACCGGGGCCCCCTGGCCGACAGAATTTGCACAGGGGTCCGGCCGCGGCGACGACGGCCGCCCCAACAGAGCGAAAAAGCCCTCCGAAAAAATATGAATCCCAAACCTCAATCCTCGAACCTCGCCCGGCCGCCCGGCCGGCCGGACGGCCGCCGCCTGCGAGGGCAACGACGACGACGACGGCGACGACGACGACGACGACGACGACGACGCCGCCGCCGCCGCCGCCGTCGTCGTCGTCGCCGCCGCCGTCGTCGCCGCCGCCGTCGTCGCCGTCGAGGGCGGCGACGAGGGGGGGGAGCGAGCGGGGGATCGGCGGTGGGTGGGAGGCAGGCTATCGCATCTGACGTCCAGCCTCCCCCCCCCCCATTCCTTGCCGCAGCAAGATCGCCTCTCTCTTCGCAAGGAGTCGATTGCGACGCTTCCGGACATTACCTAACAGCCTTTGCTGATAGGTTTCTACTGGGATCAAAACAGAGCATCAGGCTGAGGCAGGCTGAGGCAGGCTGAGGCTGAGGCTGAGGCAGGCTGAGGCCGTGGCAGGCTGAGGCTGAGGTTGAGGCCGAGGCTGAGGCAGGCTGAGGCTGAAGGCTGACTGAGGCTGGCTGAGGCTGAGGCAGGCTGAGGCTGAGGCTGAGGCTGAGGCTGAGGCTGAAGCAGAGGCTGAGGCAGGCTGAGGCTGATGCAGGCTGAGGCTGGGGCAGGCTGAGGCTGAGGCCGAGGCTGAAGGCAGACTGAGGCTGAGGCTGAAGCAGGCTGAGCCTGAGGCTGAGGCAGGCTGTGGCTGAGGCTGAGGCAGGCTGAGGATCAGGGTGAGGCTGAGGCTGAGGCAGGCTGAGGCCGAGGCAGGCTGAGGCAGAGGCTGAGGCTGAGGCAGGCTGAAGCTGAGTCTGAGGCAGGCTGAGGCTGAGGTAGGCTGAGGCTGAGGCTGAGGCAGGCTGAGGCTGTGGCAGGCTGAGGCTGAGGCTGAGGCTGAGGCTGAGGCTGAGGCAGGCTGAGGCAGACGCTGAGGCAGGCCGAGGCAGGCTGAGGCTGAGGCTGAGGCAGGCTGAGGCTGAGAATGTGACTGCGACTGCCGTTGCCGCTGCAACTGTCATCGCGAATGCGACTGCGACTGCGAGAACAGCAGAATTCTACAACTGGATTCACATCTGAATCTTACGGGGAATGTTCCCAATTATGCGTCTACACATCGCTGTTAGGTTGATTTGCCGGGATAATTTTCTCTCGAGGTTGGGGGGGGGGGGCGCCGCCGGCGGCAGCAGGTGACGGCGCGTAGCTCGCGCTCTCCGAGAAAAAACCGGCGACACGTCGCAACGCGAGTGCGCCCACTTCGCGGCCAAGAGCGGGGCCGGACTGGGACCGCCCGAGCGACCTCCCCGCGCGCGCTCGCCCAGCCCGGACTTCAGAGCGTTCAGGAGAACAATGTAAAAAAAAATACAGCGAAGCGACGCTGCGCGGTTGCGCCCGCTCCGCGGCCCAAAATTCAGAGCGGAGTTGCAGCCGCTCGAGAGTCGCATGTCCGCTCGAGGCGCCCCTGGCTGAATCAGTCGGAAGTCGTCGTCGTTCCCGAAGAGCTCGGCGGCGAGGTCCGCGTTCGCTTGCTCCTCCGTCTTCGCCGCCTTCGCGGCGGGCTCTGGGGCCCCGCCCTCCGCCGCGCTTGTCGGGGCGGCTGCTGGCGGAGTCGCTGCCGCCGAAGGCCGCCTCCGCCTGGGCTTGGAAAGCGGCGGCCGCGTGGGGCAAGCCAGGCGGCCTCGGGACAGCCCGCTGGCGCCCCACCGCCTTCTTCTCGTCCTTGTGGGGCCCGCCCAGCATCAGCGCGGTCCCCGTTCGTCGATGCCTTGTCCACCGCGCACTCGAAAGGCTCGCACTCCTTCCTCAACTTGGCAAGGCGGTCAGGACCACCTTGTCGCCCACCGAAACCGCGGCTGAGGGGCCCGCAGCGGGGGCCGCTCCCGCTCCCGCCTGCGGCCCCGGAGCGGCCGCCGAAGCCGCCGCGGGGGCCGCCCCTCCGCCCGCGGGCGAGCCGGCCCCGGGGGCCGCCGCAGCCGTGCCGTGGGCCGCCGCGCGCTCGGCCGTCCGCTTCGCCTCCTCCTCGGCCGACCGCTTGGCCGCCGCCTCCTGCTGGCGCTGCTCGATCCCGCTCGCCGCCGACTTCAGGGCGGCGCCGCGCTCGAAGCCCTTGAGTAACTTGCGGACCGTCTTCAGCTCGATCCACGCGGCCCCCAGGGCCACCTCCTCGGGGGACGTGGGGCCGTCCAAACTTGGCATCTTCGGGGCCTGGCGGCCAAAAACGAAGCATTGAAAGGCGCAGCAGCCGTCGCAGCGCCACCCGGCGCGGAACCCAAGACGCCTGCCGCAGCCGCGGGCGCTGCGATGATTGCGCCCCTTTCCCCCTCGCCCACCTCCGCGGCCGCGGCGTTCAAGTGGAACTTCGCGACGGCCACGGCGAAAACGACGGCCTCGACGACCTCGCCAACCCTCGGCGCAGCCTCGCTGGCGTCCCGGAGCTGCTTCGTCAGCGCGAGCATTGACCTCGTCGCCGCGTCGGGCACGTCGTCCACAAGGGGGGCGCGCTTCAGCGCCGCGTCCGCAGCGGCCGCGCACGCGCCGACGGTCATCGCCTGGAAGTCGGGGGGAGACTGCAGGAGCGGCTGGCAATCACTGACGTCTGGGAGGAACTCCTTCATCTGCCAATCGTCGAAGCGCTGCCAACCAGCCTCGTTGCCCAAGATGTGCTTCGCCTTCTCCCCAGCGGGCATGCGCCCGAACAGCGCGACGGCGAACTCGAGCTCCTTCACGCACTTCTCCCCGCGGCCGTCTGGCAGCTCGCGGGCCTTGCCCAGCAAGACCTTGGCATCCGACAACCTCTCGGCCAGGCTCCCGGCGCCCCTCGCCTTCGCCTCCTCGCACTGCTTCTCGAACTGCGCTCTCTCGAGCGCCTTGTGCGCCGCGCTGAAGGAGAATTTCGGTGCGCTCTCGATGCTCAGCTCCGCGCCCACCTCATCCTGGGGGGAAGACAAGTTCGCCTGCGCCAGAGAGAGGAGCGCCTTGCCCGTAGCGGATAACGCGCCGATCGTGGACAGCTCCTGCAGGAAGGGCTTGAACCGCATGAGCGTGGCGAAATCGGGCACGTGGTCGCGGAGGGTCCGGATGATGCAATTCATCGGCTTCTTGTCGTACGTCGCAAGCACGCTGTCTCGCGTCTCGCCATGCGGGACAGCCTCGCCCTTCACGTAAGAGAGGAAGCGGAGGGGCCAGAAGAGCATGGTCCGCGGGCTCCCGGCGCCGGCGCCTGGGCTGGCGAAAGCCCGCTTCTCGGCAAACACGCCGATGCTCTGCGCGATCTCGCGGAACGCGCTCTCGCGCTCAGGTGCCGAGTCCTGGCGCCACAGCTCCCGCGTCTTGCGGCAGGCGCCGGCCCTGGGGAGGACGCAAATTAGCGTGGGGGGCGCGCCCAGGAAATCGAGAAATGCGAGTGACCAACCCTCGCAACAACTGCGGGCGCAGGTCGTTGCGACGACGGTCGGACGAAGATGCGACGAAGGTAGGACGACGTCGGGGGCGTTTCTGGTGCTGGCGTCCTCTCATCCCCGCCCGGCGGCCCTGCGGGCGCGGGCGCCTCTCCCGGCGCGGGCGCCCCTCCCGCCGCCGACGGCAAAGCTGGCGACACCGCGGGCGCGGCCCCGCTGCCGGCCGCCGCGGCGGGGCCTCCACCGCCGCTTCCGTCCGCCAGGCGCGGCCCCGAGCTGGCGGGCCCCGTGGGAACGCGGCGCGCGGCGACCATCTCCGCCTTCACGAAGAAGCAGTCGATCAAGACGCCGCCCTTCGGACAGCCCGGGCGGAAGATCCACGCTGACTCGGCCGACATCCCCGTAGGCCAACCCCCCAGGTCCTTGACCTCGCAGAGATACGGCTTCGCCGCGTCGGGGATCGAGGGCACGAGGCACTTATAGCAGCACGTGTACTCCTTCCCGATCGTCGCAGTGCGCTTGTAGTCCGTCTTCACTTGATCAAGCAGCTCCCGCCTGATCGACGCCGCGCCGAGCGCCTTCAGAGCCACCGTGGTCTTTGCAGTGTCGTCGTTCCACGTGAACGCGGGGTCCTTGTCCGCCCACTCGCGCAGCGTCCTCGTCGCAGCGGTGCGCTGGCCCCCCGACACGACTAAACCCGCCTTCGTCTCCTCCAC